GAGCCTACTAGGCTAGAGTGTAGACCTAGACATAGGCCGTGACTCGGAACACTCCATATACAATGTGTGAACTTGATTGATTGAAGATCACTTCGAACAACGCTGTCTTTCAACAACTAGAATCGAGAGCTTGTTGTAGTCAGGCAGAACGTGGCGTAGTACCCCATGCCCCCCATCAAAGCCACAAGCATCGGCCCGCAAACTTCCATGTGAACTAGCTCGGGAGGCTTCGCGCTCACCGACTCGGTCCCCAAAAAGAGTTTCCGCCTTTGCTTCCCCACGTTGTAGGGCTCACATACCGTGCTTTCATTCGCCAAAACGCATTTGCTTTCACCTCCACACCCTCAACGAGGTTCCCTTGCACCATCGTTGCCAAGAATTCACGTATTGGGCGTGTCCATCCGATAGTGCCAGAGCTCCGCCATCTCCGCCTTCCTCACGAGGAGACGATTTGTCCGTCACCGTCCCGTCGATCACGTAGTTCTCTTTCACCTCCCAAGCTACAATTATCAATTTAGAGCTGTTCTTTTGAACGACACCGTAGCGACCTCGGTTGCCTTTCACACATCGAGATCAGATGTGGCGTTGCCTTCAAGACACACATCACGTTCCGCAGACTAACCAGACTTTCTCCAGTTGATGTTGCACATTGCAGCTCGACGGAGCCGCTCCCCTCCGCCCACAAGCTTCCTTTGTCCCCCAACGTAAACTCTCGGCCACTCTCACCGAATCCAAATGTAAACTCTCGGCCACCCTCGCCGAAAATGTCAACTGTGTTAGATAGAGCACTTGTCCCCAATACGTTGTTTGTTGGAGGTACCCATCTATCGACGAGCCATTCGTTGACAGCTACCCACACGCTAAAGGCACATGAAATGCCACTACCCGAGAAGGTCTCTCTCCCTTCCGCTGCTCCGATTTGAGATCCAATTTATCCACCTTGCTGCATCACAGAGAGGACTCCGCGACAGACGTGTGATCTACGGCAAGAAGCCCAACGTGGGGCACGTGCAGGGCTTTGGGGCGCGAGCCTACAGGTCAAGCAGAGAAGACGGAAGTTGGATCCGAGAAGCAAGAAGTGTGTGTTCGTGAGGTATGAGCCGGACTCGAAGGCGTATTGGGAGCTCCGGAGAGCGACTCGTGAGGATCATGATCTCCCGGGACGTCATTTTTTTCGAGGGCCAGTGAGACAACGGGGTTGTTGAGCTAAGCTCCGACCCACGAAGGGTTTCTCAAAGGCGGCCGGCAAGCGTGACACCGCGCCCGCGCCTACCTCCACACACGCGCACGCACCCGCAGCCGACCACGGCCGCGTCGTACGCACAATTTCCAAAACCGACCAAATGGCGAGTTTTGAAGGTTACAATGCGAGAGCAGAGGCGAGCCGGACTGGAGAATGCGGAGGACATGGGGATGCCAACACCGGCTGCTCGGAGTTACCCCACGCGAGAAAGACGTGCACTTGGAGGGTGGTACCGCGCCGTCGGACACTGAAGCGAGGAAGCATCTCAAAGGGACGGGGGAACACCTAAGACCGTGGACTTATCGGGAAGCCGTAGGTGGAGAAGAGAGTGACTATTGGCGGAAGTCAATAGACAAAGCTCGAGCGTTGTCTGTTGGAGAACGGGACGGTGGCAATCGTTGAAAGACTGGAAGGGGTCAAGCCAATTCTCATAGAGTGGGTTTACAGAATCAAGCCGGACGCTCTCGGAAATAAGGAGCGATACAAGCCCTTGCTGGTGACGAAAGGCTACCTACAAAAGCCGGGGATTGACTTCGATGATCTACGCCTCAGTGAGCAAGCACACTATGTTGCGTGCGCTGTCGATGGTGGTTGCGGCTCGGGCCATGTGGAGCTGCATGAGCTGGATGTCAAGACGGCGTTCCTTATGGGGAGCCGGAGGAGGAGCTCCACACGCAGCAACCAAAGAGATACGAGCAAGGTGGGCCGGAGATGGTCTACCGCCTCAAGCGCACCTTATACGGATTGCGTCAAGCGCCCGCGTGCGTGGCACATGCGTCTGAAGGAGGAGCTCGGGCCTTGAATTTCGAGTTCGTGGCGTCCATGGCAGACGCAGCGCTTTTTACGGGGATTGCAGCGGGGAAGCAGGTTTACATTGTGGATGGACGACATTCTCGTGGCCGCTCGTGGAGCAAAGCGCATTACGAAGGTGACGGCACACTTGGCTAAGAAATTTGACGTGTGCGATCTGGGGAAGGCGACGTACGTCTCGAGATTCAGCTGACGCGCAATAGCGCCACGCATCGCAAAGCTGACGCAAAAGAAGCTGACACGGGAGTTGGTCGGCGTTACGAACTGGCGAACGCGCTGTCGCGTAACAAAATCCCCTTAGAACGGGGGACAAAATTAACGACTCGGAAGGAAGACCTGTGAACCCCTCGACACAAAGCGGTTCCTATATAGCGAGTGTGTGGGAAGCTTGCTGTACCTGAGTGTGCGCATAAGGCTCAAAATCGCGCATATGGTGGGCGCGCTTGCGCGCTACTTAGCGAGGCCGACGGAGGCGCAACGGCGAGGACAATAGAGGACGAGGTTACCTTCGGGGGGAGGTTGACGCCTTTTCGTTGATAACAATGACCCGGATTACTCAGGTGACGTGGACACGAGGCGGTCCACAACGGGGCACGTCTTTCTATGTACAGGGGGCGGTCAGCTGGTCGAGCAAATTGCAGCCAACGGTGGCGCCTCGACGGTGGAAGCTGAGTACCTGAGTGCAGCGCAAGCAGTCACGGTGAAGGAGGCGTTGTGGTTTCGCAAGCTTGAGGGAGATCCTGAGTTGGACCTCGTCCGGAACAATTTGAGTCCGGATACTACTGCGCGACAACCAAGGGGCAACCTACGGCTCTTAAAGCATCCAATCGCTTTGCAGCGGTCGAAGCACATTGACGTGATTCACCACTTGGCACGCAAGGAGGTCGCGTTCGCGTACTAGGGATGGAAGATTCGCAATTTCATTGATGTGGGGACGAGTGTTAAGATACGGGGCAATCAGGGACGAATCTCTGGGTGATTCTAGAGTTTTAGGATCATTGCGCGCTAACAAGAAACCAGTAGCTTGTCTCGTTTGTTAACAAAAGCAGAATTTGTATGCCGAGTCCGATGTGGATGCAGATATTGAATGCAGAGAATGTGTAGAACTTTATCACAAATTCACTGTACCAGCAAAAAAGCCGCGAGCCTGTACGCCCCGCCTGAGTGAAAATACTGTACAATTGTCGGATTGGGCATGGTTTTGCCCAATGATCAATTTCGTCTGCTTTTTGGAGACTTGGACAGCTTGGACCTATTTCAACTCGATATTTCCATTGGAAAAACGAGCTGGTACTTTTACCCGTGTGGTTTTGAAATGGAAGAAAGTGGCGCTTTAGACTTGATCACTCCATGAAGAGCAATTTTTCCATCGAAGGCTACTTTGTCCGATTTCAGGTCTGAAATGCTCGACCCGGATTTTCGACGGCTTTTTGGATTCGATGCTCCAATATTCTTTCTTGTGAAGGCCCTCATTCACACCACAAACGACAAGCATCAGTCAGATTTAACCCCGACAATTGTACACGGAGAGTATTGCTGACTACCGTGCCGTCATTCGTAACCGCGTGCTTTTTGCGTATAAAGCCTAAATCCGTGTCGCACCGAATTAGTACACGGCCGGCTGTATAGTTCGTGATACATTCGTAAACGTATAGTGAAAGTCATAAGGTATTTGATTACTAGAAAATTTGTAGTATCTGAGTCATATAGCCGCATCTCGGATGTAAATAATTCAGAATCGGTAACATGTGCGGCATGGCGCCTCCCCTATACCTTGCAAAACGGTAGACCAAGCATTCCGAAGTTCATACCGCACCGCGGTTTCTAAAGTGTAATTGTTTTGAGGGCCAAACCCCAAAGTCCTGCACCCGCCCAGTTGGTTGGCTTTCAATTGCGCGCGGCGCCGTACCTTGCGAACCGTGCGGCCGGCAGGGCGGGCATCACTGTAGATTGGACTTTACTATAAGGAGGCTCAGCTGAGCTCCGACCATCGGCGACGCCAGGCGGCAGTGCCCGGCTCTTCCAACTTATTCGAAGTGATATACACGACCAAACACACACTCAATGTAACGAGTCGGTCAAGCCGACAGTCCAAGTACAACGTGATCGCAACGGATCAAGAGCCTAAAGCCTAGAAGTGTCTAAGATCCTTCTACCCAGGCTAGACAACGTGTGCAGTCCGGAACCGACGGAGGCTCAAGGGCCTAGTAGCACTGGAAGTACTCAAAACTGCACGAGCTCGGCCTATGGTGAACACCTCTGGGCCGGCTATGCTGGAGAGCTACGCCGGCGACAGACACCCGCTGCCAGCTGAAGCAAAGCAGCCTAGAAGTCAACCGGCGTGAATATAGACCAACTGGATTTTGAGCTCAGCGGCTCGTCTAGCACAAGTATCTATAAACTCGTCAAAGAAGGAATCAAGGCATCCGGGTACGTCTGGACCGCTTCCGGGGATGAAGGTATCCGAGTGCGGGGAGTGATCCGCGTACTTCCCCTCCTTCATCTCCCACGCCAGCCATGTAGCGTGCCCCCGCTCCGAACCCTCGACGTAAATACTGCTGTTGTCGACGGCGTCGGATCCGTGGCCACCCCCATGTCGGCGAGAAACCCGGGACCACCACAAGGGTCGATCCGCTCTGACCAAGGAGTCCATTCGTCTCCCCGCCAACTCTCCTGCTGTGGGCGGTGTTCATCCCGCACTGCTCTCGGCGTGCGCTATTCAAAGCTCGCCTCCCACATGATGTAGATTCTGGTATAGGTAAGGACAGACAGGATAAGCCTATATAGTTTGTAGGGCAGTCGTCATCAAGGTATAGTGTAACATGCCGGATAGTCCCGAGCCTGCGATGCTCAGAACCCCCAACACAGAGTTAGCGGAATTGCGGAATGTACGCTGCGGGAGCTCAACACTTGGGAGAATTGCGAAACTCGCTTCTGGCTAGAAGCCGGCGTGTTGAATGAGCAACTTTCGTCCGACCTTATAGCTGTGCTCCAATTCAGAAGCCAGCAGAATGTTAGTCGCTCCATCCTAGAGATCTGCAGCGTCTTGCAGCACTCTATAACGTTAGATGAATTCGCTCTGCACTCTAGGTTATGCAACTGGCGTGTAACTGGATATGCGACCTTTGCCAGCTAAGAAACGTCCAGGTTCCTTGAACAGCCTGTCGCTTTCAGCCTAGAAGACGCCATTGTGTCAGCAAGTGACATCGTGCCTGCATCGCAGATCCACAGAAGGATGACAGCAAGGCATGCGCTTAGAAAGTCGCTCTGTGATTCGTTGAGTTAAGGAAAACGCGTCCTTGGTTCTCTCACCACTTGTTGATAGTGACTGCAGTCGCTTTCAGTCGCGCACCTAGCTTGAAGAAGCTCAAAGTTAGGTTCAAGTCCGTCACTGGATGAAAATCCTGGATCCCGTAATAAGGTAATTAGCCCCGAAGTCATCGGACGGACTAAACGTACCAAAATAATCACTCGACGGTCAAAACGTACCAATTCTGTAAATGTTGTCCCAGAATCCGATGGGGTAAATGTGGCCAAATCTGGATAAAATCCGAGCGCGTTCTCATTATTTAAAGAGCCGTCGATTTGAGATTCAAGCTCTTGTGTGACGTTGATAAAGCAACAACTTTCATACTCGTTTGAATTCACTTGAAGTCGATCTCAGGAGTTCAAGTCATAAGCTATGCTCAAATGTACATTCGCTACTAGGCACAGTGTACCTAGAAATTAGGGTTTCGCATTTTGCAAATAACCGTAACGATTTCAAAGGAGACCGGTAAAAGAGCACATCGTTACACTCCTCCCCCCTTTAAAGAATCAGCGTCCGCGCTGATACAGTTTTACTCCGAGAACGTTTCGATGGCTGAGTAGGCCCTGCCCTTGTGGGCTTACGTTTCCGAGTTCCGCTTTTGCTAATTGACGGGCCGGCTACACCAGGCTGCCTATCAATGTTAACACGTTGCCAATACTCCGCTTTGGCTGCCGGGGCGTTTTTCAAATTCACCTGGGGTTCCCACGAATTATGCTCCGGACCATAATGGGACCAACTGACCAGAAACTCAAGAGAGGGTTTCTTACTTGAGCCTGTCGGACGATGCGATAGGATCCTGTCGACTTCGTACGCTAGGGCACCGTCCACGTCGAATGTTGGAGGCGGCGGTTGGTAGCGTCCATCTGAACGATACACTTCCAGCAACGAGACGTGAAAGACGATATGGATCTTCCAGCGATCTGGAAGAGCCAGTTTGTAAGCAACTTGACCGATCCGTTCAATGATTTCAAACGGGCCAACAAACCGAGGCAAAAACTTAGGAGTTCCCACATGTTTGATGGGCAGACTTTGTGTTTAGAAGAACTTTATCTCCCAAAGCAAACTCAGCTTCTGAACGCTTCTGATCTGCAAAAGACTTTTGCCGTTGCTGAGCCGCATGCGGGTTGGTTTTCGCCCTAGAAATGCCTGCTTCCAATCGCTCAACAAAAGACTTTGCCGCAGGGACCGGAGAGTCTGCAATGCACCCCATGGGTGTTCGAGGCTGCTGACCAGAATTAAGCGAGAACGGAGACGCTTTAACTGAGGCATGCCAGGCATTGTTGTACGCAAACTCTGCCAGGCCTAGCAAACGAGCCCAATCTGAACGATCCGGAGAAACATAATGACGCAAATACGTTTCAAGCGTCCAGTTCAAAATCTCCGTTGCCCCATCGCTAGCCGCATGGAAAGAAGAGGACATAGCCAGCCGCGTACCAAGCAGAGTGGTGACCTCCTTCCAAAAACGACTCGTAAATCGCGGATCACGATCGCTTATGAACTTCGCACTGAGCCCGTGATGTTTGAAAACGTTTTCAACATACAGCTGTGCAAAGCCTTCAGCCGAGACTATTTTGACAGTAGGAACAAAGTGCGCCATCTTTGTGACTCGATCCACAAAGACGATAAATGAAACCTTTTTCGATTCTGTCATCGGCAAGTCTGTGATCAAGTCAAAGGAGATGCATTCCCAGGGGCGATCAGGAATCTCAACAGGTTGTAACAACCCACCTGGCTTTCGTAGCCTGTACTTGTTCCTTTGGCACGGCACGCACTCTTTGATGTACTTTCGCACGTCGGCCCTTAACCCGACCCACTAGAAGTGGCGCTCAACCGCGTGCAGGGTCTTCTCAAAACCAAAATGTCCAGAGAACGGCGCGTCGTGCAGTTCCTGTAAAATCAAACGCTTCAGACTTTCGTTTGCTGACACGCAAATCTTGGAATCCTTCAAAAAGAAACCTTCCGCACTGGTACGCAGTTGATTGGACTTCCCGCTGTTTGCATCTCGCAGCCAGTCGTCCTGGTCGTAAGCTCTGATGATTGCATCCCTAAGAAGGTTAGGCACGCTAAACACACTGTTAGAGCTATGATCCTCCGCACGCCTGCTGGGAGTTCGACTCTGTGAAGGTTGGCCGACCGACTCAGATTGAACTCTACTCGACCTCAGCCCTATTACAGCCAGGTAAGCGGATCTGACATTCGGGTTTCGGCTCAAAGGGTCGGCAACATTCGTCCTGCCTGGACGATAGACCCACTCGAAATCGAACCGCTGAAGGAGCTCAGACCAACGAGCTTGACGCCTACTAAGGTTCGCTTGTGTTTTTAGGAAAGTGTTGAGACAATGATCCGTTACAACGGTAAACGAAACACCCTCGAGATAGCAACGCCAAGTGCGCAAAGCATGTACTACTCCCAACAACTCCTGTTCGCTTGTTGTGTAATTTCGCTCGGCGGGAGAAAGCTTACGAGATTCGAAAGCTACCGGTCGCTCATTCTGAAGCAGAACTGCGCCTAGCCCTTCCAACGAAGCATCACTGACGACCTCATAGGGTTGCGTTTCGTCAGGCGACACTAGGACAGGAGCATGCGTTAAGGCGTACTTGATCTGTTCAAACGCATCCCTACAGCGCTCAGTCCAAACAAACTCAGCCTTTGCCTTCAAAAGATTCGTTAGAGGCGCCGCACAGGAAGAGTACCCTTGAATGAACCTTCGAAAATAGTTAGCCAAGCCAAGGAACGATCGCACCTGATGAGCGTCTGACGGTGTAGGCCAGTCCTGGACAGCGGCGACTTTTGCCGGGTTCACCTTGATCCCGTCAGCCCCAACGATGTGCCCAAGGAACTTGCACTCGCGCTGACTGAAGGACGACTTCGCCGTGCAGACGAAGAAACGTTGACGTCGAAGGACGTCCATCACCAGTCTCAGATGTCCCTCGTGCTCCTCTTCCGTTTTGCTGTAAACAAGGATATCATCCAGGTAAACAACCACGAAATCTTTCAGATAAGGACGGAAGATATCGTTCATGACCGACTGAAACGTTGCTGGCGCGTTCGTTAGTCCCTCGATTAAGACTTTAAACTGATAGTGACCGAAAGGAGTTCGGAACGCAGTCTTGGGGACGTCTTCATCAGTGATTCGAATCTGATGATAGCCTGAAGTAAGATCCAGATTTGTGAAGTACTTGGCGCCAGACACCGCATCAAGCAAATCATCAATTCTAGGAATGGGATACCGATTTTTGACCGTGACCGCATTCAGAGCCCGAAAATCAAGACAAAGTCTCAGACCTCGACCGTTTGGTTTAGGGACAAACAAAATCGGAGCTCCATAAGGACTGCTTGACGGTTCAATCTGTCCTTTTGCTAGCATCTCTGTAATTTGCTTTTTCGCTTCCCTCATTTCCAAAGGACTCAGGTCTACGGTACATCGGACGATAAGGAGGACTATGACCAGGCTCCGTAGGAATCGAATGAGAAACATTCCTAGACGGAGGTAAACCCTCAGGCAAGGGATCCTGGAAGACGTCGCTGTACTCCTTCTGTAACGCTTCAACCCAAGAAGCAGAAGCAGAACTTGGCTCAGAGGACTCACCGTCGAATATTTCCTTCAAGGTAGCTAGGAAAAGCGGGTTACCTCTCTTGACCAACCGCTTCACTTGCCTCGCCGACAGAACCGGTGTAGCTTTCCCGTCACTTGGCTCCTGCACAGGTTCTCGCACTAACGCTTTCTGTTTAACCGTAACTCGCTTTCGGCCCTTGGTTAGTAGCGCGCTTTGGGTTCGATAGTCTAGCACAACATTGTTGGCGGTCATAAAATGATCGCCAAGTACGATGTCAACACCCTCGAGCAGATTCGTTACTAGACATGTAACCGGTTGATGGAAGGCACCTAATCGTAGGTGTACGCGCGCCGTACACCAACTGCAGTTATACTCGAGTTGTCGCCAAGTTTGATCGAATCTGCGTTTGATTCGATTGTCAAACCTGTTAGCTTGGCAAAGGAGAGAGATACGAAGTTGTGATCTGCATCGCTATCAAATAGCACATTCGCATGCTGATCAGCCGCGCGGCCTGCAAAGCACATTTTCAATTGCCCAAGCTCGAGTGCGCTCAGGGTCGACGGTTCGCCCTGGTGAGAATTTCGAAGACCAACAGAAGGACTAGGGGCGTAGTACCATACAGAAATTGGTCGATTTGTGGTACTGACTTTCGTTGCTAGCT